TCTAATTGGTTATTTAATTAAATATTCATCCGTGTATCACATTTGAGCAAGGACTTGATACTGTTTTACCCGAGCGTTGCCTGAAGAGCGTGTTTGAAAATAAACTAAATTACAAGTACAGTATTAGCAAAACGGGAGTGCCGATAGAGACCAGGTCAAGTCCCTTCAAACGCACGCACCCCCACAGGTCTCCATCGGCACTCCCGTTTTGCTAACACGAAATTTTTCGCTTTACACTTAAGGGAAAAAGAAGAAGGCGGTAAAATTTAATTCATGAGCATATAGTTTTAGGTTTTACGGTACAACGTTTACAAGCTGGTTAACTATAATACGAATAAAGGCAAACAAAACCTGTACTAAAATAAAAAAAAAAAATAAAAAAAAATGGGTGAAACATATTTTAAAAGATTAATGGCATGAAGTGGTTTGTGTACACTTACTACTGACTAAGACTAGCTGTAGCTCCCCCCATGACTACACCATTTTGACCATTTAAGACACAAAAAAGCCACCGAGTCATTTAGCTATTGTGGTATATAGTCAATGGTAAAAGTCAATGGCATGGGGGAACTCCGATCACTCCTTTAATCTATGCTCCGATTTCCTTTTCCTTTTTGAGGCCAAAAACACCATCCGATCAAAAATAAATTTAATACATAAAATATACATTTATTTTAACAACTTGTGAACCAGCATGATCAGACTGTGGGAACAGGGGTGTATGGGGTAACAATGGGGTCTCCCATATTTAGACATTTTTGCAATTTCTTTAAAACTATTTTTTAGAGCTTAGTAACAATAAATTAGTTTATAAGCGTTGCTGTGTGCATCTCTTAAAAAAAAAACAAACAAAAACAATAATTTAGTATATTGAGTTTTGTACAATTATCGGTTAAAGGAAATTTTACTGCAAATTAAAATGTTTTATGTTATTTCGATGGAGAATAAGCACTATATAAGAATACATGGAGAATAAGGTTGCTTGTTTATGGATATATTTTGAACAAATTTGGTAAATTTATTTATTTTTTCATATAGGCCTACTGTTAACATTTGATCCAAAACACTCTTCCCTTCCCTGTCGCAGCAAACCTAGGTACTGGTACTAAACTACATAATGCTTATTTAGAATTAACCATCAAGAGGATTCTAAAAAAAATATTTTTTTTATAAAAAAAAGAAAAGGATTTCGCTTCATCCTTAAATTAGTCCGTAATTTGTATGTATTATATGTTGGCGATACACTATTGTATTTATAATTGTAAAATTTGTGTCTATGAAATAAAGATCATTTGATTTTTTTATAGGGAATGAATATGTAATTTTTAGGGTGTCATTTGTAAGGTGATATTTGAGTGAAAATCCAACCAGACAAATGGTAATTCGCTTAAACTACAGGTTTGCTGTGGCGGGGGTATTTGGCTTTGACTATAATGTATGTTTTTTAATTATTTCACAGACTGGAAAATAACATAAAAAAATGGGACGATATTTATTTATAAACCAGGCTACTTTAGTACCATAGAATATATATAATATTTGTTCTGGGGTATTATAAACAAAGAGTGAAGTGCACACTGTTAAATCAACACTAAAATAAAAACCTTTATTGTAATTAAACGTAACCGTGCATAAACTCACGTAAAAAAGCTTTAGAATTTAAAATAATATAGAATAATAAAATAAAATAAGAAAATCCTTCGTTATGACAGAACGATGGTAAATGCAACATTGTGCATTAAACTGATGTATTTAATTAACGAAAATGTTTACCTTGTACAGTATGTGGTGTTTCGAATCTGCATTGTTCGTTTATTTTATTTGGAGTAGTTTTTGTTTATACATAAAAAATCCGAACATTTTGATAGTATACTAATATAACACATACTCATTACTCCCTTTGGTATAATACACATAAACATGATTTTAATACTCAGCCATTTCACTACGAATAATTCATCAATAACACAATATCTTTGCAGCTTTTATCTGCAGAATTTTCTGCAATATTTATACGTCATAGCAAATTTTAAATAAACATTTCGTAAAAAAAATTATGTCTAGACATGTATAAACAGTATGAACAAACTTCAATAAAAGTAATTAAATGTTGGATTTTTTGTTGTACAGTTTCTTAACAAACCATTTTGTAGCAATTTTATAAACAAATAATCAATATAACTCAAATACTATACTTAAGTATAATTAAAATCGTAATAATATAGAATGATTATGAATTTTATTCGCCTCCGAAACAAAAATAAGGCAAGAAAAGATACAGAAAAATAAAACTATAATTTGAGAATATATTATTGTCATTATTCCTCTCAGATACAGTAGGTAAAAAATGTAATTCTCATTAGTGGAAGAATACTAGTGTTCTAAAATTAATTATTTTCAAATATTAAAAGGAGTGGTTCACGTAACTAATACAATGTAAAACAATATACTGCAATTACCAATTATTAGGATAAGATGGGAACGTTACTAAACCCGTACACCACACAGAAAATAGTCCCTTCTTGGAATAAACGTTGCTCCTGCAACTATAGAGACGTTCACTGTTGTACACAGCAATGCTGCAGCGAGTATTGCTCGAGTTGCAGGCGCTGAAAAAATAACGGTTCCTCATACTATTTACAGACAATGTAGTAACCCCAATTGGGTACTCTATCGTCCTTGCAAAAATAAAAACGACTGTTTATAGTATGTTCTGCGGGTAAATCTAATAGTCCCTAAGGAAAAAGAAATCTGAGATCGAGGTCATCAGCTGTGTTAATTATTCCGACTTTTTTTTTCGAAGAAAGTAGTTTCAATAAAATGCAATCATGTTCTATTGTATCACTAAAATATCTTCTTTATCGTTTGGACTTCCATAAAACTATTAAATGGTTGCATTTTCGTCCCTCAAATTACAGTAACGTGAAACTGGACTCTGGAGCTCGTGTCAAAAGTTATGAAATGTAGGCGAATCTCCAGAGTTTCCAAAAAAACCTGTAATTAAATGCTTATTTTGTTTATTTTTTAATTTTCTGTCGCATCAAAACACATTAACTTTTATTATTTAGCCTACTTCCTATTATTGCACAGTGCCATTATTATAATATCAAGAAATTGATGTACGTTACGTTGTACAAGCAAAACAATTAATTTAGGACAACACCATTTTATGGCTTATATTTTTATACATTTATATAATACATCTATTCGGAATATAGTTAATTTTCAGTAGGTTGTCTATCCCGTTAATGTAAACAGTTGGTTGACTCTTCTAGACATCAATGATGAACTAAAGAACGCCGAAATCAATCTCGTTACAGAATTGTAACATCGACGGGGTTTCCAATTAATTTTAATCCGGACAACTGTCACAGAATGATAACCAGGTAGACTGTGATGTTAATTAATGTAAAAAACTCATAGTTGTTTATGAATCTCTATATTGAACCTAATTTATGTCCCGAAACTTAAAAAATTCCTTAAGTTGCGCTTTCAGATACTGTAATAGGTAATTTAACTCTGTGTGCGTTGAGAATAAATAAAATATTTTAAAAGTAATTTGTTCACACAACAATGTTGTCACTTTAATAGTTTCAAACTCCCAGTGAATTCCCTAAAAGTAATCCCCCTAAAATACCATTTTGTAATTGTTCCATGCCAATGAATACGGAACCTTAAGAAGCGAAACCGCCATAAGGTTATCTGTAATCATTGTCCATAAGTTACTGATGGAATAGTACATAGTATAGGGATTGAACCCGTTCCTCTGCACGAAGACTTGAGTCATGAACCAATTATTTTCTCATAATAGGTTTTTCCAAAAAAATTGTAAGAAACATATGTAATCAAGAAAATCAGCTGCAATGATGCTCGGAACGACTAAAAACAACGTAACAGTAAACAAGCTTTTTCAGTATCGCAATGACGTCTGTCTCTGAAATCTCTTCGCATCTCCTCTCGGGAAATTCCATGAAAGGATTAGAACAAAAATTCCCTGGACCTTATACCGCTTCCTGTCAAAGACTCAAGTCAGCTGTATTTTTACCAGGTGACAAGTCGCCCTCGCGGCATTGGATTCTCTGATATGCCAGTGGAATGTCGTATTCAAGGTGTGTCGTTCCCCCTCCACTCACTCCAGCCACTCGTACTCGTACGGCTTCGGCTCTTCGGCTTCACTTCGTTTCGTTCCGTTCCGTTCAGTTCAGTCGAGTTGCCGATAGTGAAAACTTACTATCGATAGTCACACCATCGATAGTTTTCGATAGTTTTTTAAAAACTATCGATACTATCGATAGTACTATCGATAGTCACTCAAATGGAATTTTAATGCATATAATATTGTATATATCCTGCCTGCATGAGTTTAAACAATGGTTTCTACCTAGTCGAAGATAAAGCTGTATCAGATTATTAATTTTAACAATTTATGAGTGATGCCCTGGAGCCCCCTTTATGTTTTTTTTCCAAAATATTACAACATTTGTATAAAATAACAATAAGTTTTTTTAAGGGTTACAACAATAAAAAAAGAAAAATTCTCTTATTATTTTCTTTTTATTATTCACTACAAAAATATTTTTTTACTCACATAGCATAAATAATATATATATATATATATTTTATGACAATCTAAAACCATAGATCAAAGGAAAATACCGTATACCGGTGTCTACTATGTATGCTAAAACCCACGAGGCAAATGTACCCATAAGTCCGGTAGTGAATTAGCAAATGTTTGAGTAGGTAGCCTACTTGTCTACCAAGCTTTTCTACAATGAATAAAAAAAAAATAGTCTATAATATTAACTAGAGGTATGCATTAACAGACAAACAATGATATGTAAGAGTACCAGATAATGATTTCTTTACTTAATTTAACGTAAAAAAAAACTATCGATAGTCTCATCGATAGTGTAATACTATCGACCCACTATCGATATTTTCAAACTATCGATACTATCGATAGTACTATCGATAGTAAGTTTTCACTAGTTGCCGAGTTCTACACATGGCGGACAGTTGACAATAGTGTAACGGCTTTTTGGCGCTTAGCTGTCCCTTAGCCGTTGATTTCGCGAGTTTCGTGTCTATTTGTGTCGTTTTCGCGTTAAATTCTTCCGGTTTTGTGTTAAGTTTAGTGCTGTGCTGTATTCCAAGGTATCTGAGTTGGTTTCTAGGTTATGGTTTGCCTACCTTTCCCCTTGTGGAAGTATACCTTTTACCTGTGCTGACGTTTAGGTGGATTATGCAACAGTATTGATTTTGAAGGCGTTGAATATGTTTTAAATTGGTTCAATCAGCAGATACTGTGCTATTTATGCGATTTGGTGAAGTTACAATTACAAGTTTTGTCAGGCTTTTCCACAAAGGTCTCGGCCAAAGTTTGTTTGTAAACATCATGTTTTTTTGTTTACGTTGCTTCGTTGATTCTAGTACCTAACGTAGCTTTGTTGTAGCGTAACCTATTCTAATTTACCTATTTTTTAAGTTATTTTACAAAATTATCAGTTAACTTATTTTACAAAACTCACTTCAAGTTTAATTACCTACGTTGTTTCTTATTGCATGATAATGTTAACGAGACATTGGTACCTACTGGATACTTTGCACATTTTTTAAAATTGCCTTATCACATTTTAAGCCTACTTTATTTTTATAGCTTTCGTAAGTTTTCTTCAATCATGCCCACTAAAACTTAAAATCATCCTTTGTATACTCCATTGGGGAAATCCAGGCAAAAATCTAGCTAATCATTTATTTCAGGAAGGGGTTGATAGATATTTTAAATTACGAATCAGTGATTATTAGTTAAATTTGTGATACTTCTGTGCAATGGGAGGAACTCAATCGACGCACGAGCCTTTGGATAGATCAAGGAGTACTTCGTTCAAACGACATGCCAGCTGCCGACATTCTAAGGTAGGTAGGTAACTTTAGGGTGATTACAGAAAGAAATTACTTAACTTAATAAATAAGCTTTCCAACTACTACGTTAGTAAATATTATAATCTCAAGTTACCTTGTTTAATCTTTTGTTTAACCTAGACGGAACTGATGTCGTAAATAATTCGCAAAGTGAATCCGGGCATTACTTTTACTACGCTTTCGGCTTAGTTAAATACCTAACGAAATACCAGGGCTATAATCCGTTGGTCTAATGGTTGTACATCATTAAACGATTTACTTCTACCGGTATTGTTTTCGAGGTGTTGCTTTGATTAGATTCTAGCATCGAAATCGTAGTTCATCAGTTCATCACATCATTATCAAAGCCAAAACAAAACATAATCGTAGAGACTATAGGTTGGTTAGAGTTAGAGGTAAAACAGCCCCTAAAAGAGTTAAGACTCGAAGAGAGTTGATGCTCTGGCGAATTGGTCAAACCTGCCTGGAACCGACTGTCCAGTTTTATCTTAGTTAATTCACCACCACTACTTTTTTATTGCGATTCCGGTATGTTTAACAGTTAGTCTAGTTCATAAACTAACACAACCACTCTACCTACAGCATTATCTTAGTTCATTCCTATCCTAACATTCAAGTTTGATCATGAGCAGAAGGCTACGTAACTTACTGCATCAGTTCTTTGGCGTGTTATGTTAGAAGACTGTATATTTGTCTCCGTATTTATACAGTGATTTAAACGGTGTGACAACGTTGTAGAAAGAATCCAACTATAGTCACAGTCCTCCCTGTGTGGCGAAGACCCACACGGACCAGGTGGCCTTGAAGACCTGTGGGGAGTACGATGACTCCCAGCTCTGGCCGACCTTCGCTTTTGTTGCTTTTTGTGGCTCAATCCTTGTCTCAGACTTGGGAAGGAATCCGAGGGGAATAGGGGATGCATAGTGACTTGTCACATCTTGGGGTTGATAGTGTAGGTAACTCAGCTGAAGTCAAAAGTAACAATGGTGATTTTTTAATTAGGCTAAACTAATTTTGAGTCAATATTTCATACCGTAGAAACTCAAATAACTTAGGATACATCACGGATTCAACTTAATAACTATGTAAATAGAACTTTTAAGGTTCCTTCCACAGCTGATCATTCCTTGGAAGATTGGAAATACTATCCCTTCACTAAATCTCTATACTCTTATAATAGCTAGCACAATAACACCCGCGGCATAAAAAGGCTAACCATTGTGTCACTTCCTGCGGAAATCTCCGCCCACTCAAACAATTGGAGACTTTTTATTGTAGAAGAAACTGCAGCTGTAATTTGGATTTGACGCTAAGTAATCTAAATTGTATTTTTACCTCCAAAAGCAAATCTTACATACAGTTGGTGGTCTGAGGATCAATAATGAATAATACGAGTAAAAGCCACCTGACGTAACGTGAGAACCGTATGTATCCGTGTCCGGTCAGGTAAGGGGGGGGGGGTGAGGGCAGGGGAGAAACGAAATGAACAGCTGCTGTATTTCTCCCTTCGGTGAGGGACGCATCTGTCGTATAGGCATTCCCTCGCTTACCAACAGTACAGCAGCACCATTGATAAAACATACTTCCTTTAGTTAGATTTCTAATCCTCATAAATCAGCTGAAGACAATTTTATTGTTGTGCCTAGTTCCGTCTAGGGGGACAGGGGTCGTGTTTTGTTAAAAATTTGTTTCTTGTTATTTCAGTCGCTTAAAACCTCGTTTAACCAATTAGTACGATCTAATTAATAAGAAACAATTACTCGTCTCCTATTAACCGAACAGTGTACCTAAAGCACAAATGATGTAATTAACACTAAATTAATTTGAACTAAATTTCGTTGCCACTAGCGATCAGTGTTACCAACACACGAAAAGACACGAAAAACGAGTTTCGAAATTTAGAATGGGGTGAGAAGTCAAATTGTGTTAGTTAGTGTATGGCACTTACTACATCCATTTTAATAGAAAATTTTATGTTATATCACATAAATTGTCATAGTCCCTACTTAATACAGCTAGTAGGACCTCGGTACCTAACAAGACTCTCGTGGGAATTATTCAATAAGACTTGTTATCAAGGTTGACTTCTTATCGAGGTGTGCAAAAACATGTGATTAGGGGTAAATCACTTCAAAAAGTGTTTTGAAAATCACACTTTTGATCAAGGATGGCTTGTTTGTTTAATACTAAGGGGAGAAAATTCTCTTAAGTTTATAGCACATTCTTTGAGGATACGACTAATGTTAAAATTTAATGGAAATTAAAAGGGCTACAGCTAGTTTTTACAGAACATTCAGAAATGGGGTGTCAACTTTATCGTCCAGTTGTCAACGGTTAAGATTCTAAAATGTTTTATACAATTCACGTTTTAACGTTTTAAACAGCATTCAGTTGGCTTAACTGTTAAAAATTTGTATCAGACAGTTTAACCGGAAGTGACATTATGGATACAATGACACCATTGTTATTGTTTTAAATAGGTCTACTTAAGCTCATTGATCAAGATAGTGCTAATGTCCGAGATATCATTCTGGTTCCGATGACCTAGAACAACCAACTCGCCAACTGTCATGTCCACCGCACGAGTATGTTGATATTTAGGTCAGTTGACGAATCCGTGAATACCCACACATGGGGAATATATTCAGAGACCAACAATGTAACTGGGCTGTAATCGCTGTTATGATGTACGGTAACAAATATGTTTAAATACTCAGCACAAGATAGTCAAGTCAAGGAATGAGGTGTAGAGTGCGTGAGCAGGTAACTAAGCGATTCCTTCAGAAACTTGTTCAGGGGGCTTAGGGTGTTAACATACCAAAAGTCCTGACCTCTAGGTGGTGAGCCAGGGGGGAAAGGGGGGTTAAAGGTACGCATTTTGGGGTTTTCGATTATATTCTCGAAAACTATCAACTTTTTGTATACTATACTAAATTATAAAATTTGAAGAAGATTAAATTTTCTACAAGAAAAGTATATAATGTGTTTATTTTGGTTAAACAATTTACGAGTTATTACTAATTTAATTAATATATTATTAAAATACTCCTTCCATAAGAAATACATGTAAATAGGTATGCAAAATGGGGAAAATCCTATCCGCCCAAAGAAAATATAACCGATATTTTGGAAATCTTGACAAAGTTTCCAGTAATTCGACACTTTAATCATAAAAAGTGATCCAAAATTAAGGCGAGGGCGAGGTAACAAAAATGTCGTGTTTTGGTGTTTTTTATTAAGAACTAGCTGGCCCGACAGACGTCGTCCTGTCCTAATGTGGTTTTATGTCAAATGCTCGTTCATTTTCAAGATGAGCTCGTTCGCATGGCTCAATCACGTCCTGGTTGAAGTTCGTATTTCTTATGGAAGGAGTATTTTAATAAGATATTAATTAAATAAGTAATAATTCGTAATCTGTTTAACCAAAATAAAGACATTACCATACTTTTCTTGTAGAAAATTTAATCTTCTCCAATTTTATAATTTAATTTAGTATAGTATACAAAAAGTTGATAGTTTTCTAGATATAATCAAAGCCCAAAATGCGTACCTTTACCCCCCCCCCCTTCCCACCTCCACCCCCCAAGTCTCTGAAGGAATCGTTTTTAGTTACCTGCTTGCGCACTCTACACCCACTTTTTCATTGACTGGACTAAAAAGAACACTTTACCATATATTGGTTGCATTGTATTTTGTACGGTAATCCATAAAAAATAAGAATTTTGTACATTTTGTCATTGACTATTGAAATTTTGTATCCACCCAGTAAGTTACCTACTGTAAGTGTTTAATTTCTCTTCAGTCATTATTTTTAGTTTTAGGAGTTGTTCAGTCTCGGTCACTCAAACCCAAATCAGAAAGAAATCTGTGACAAAACTTATTTCCATATGTTTGCCTAGGCTACATATAGATTTTTTTATTCAATATATAACTTTATACTAGGCATCCAGAAATGGGGTGCAAGAAATTTTGGGTTACTCTTTATGAGGGTTAAAATAATACTTGTTGCAAATATTGTCAAAATTCCATTTTCATCCATTTTGATTTGTCCCTACTGTCGCTAGTATTGTATGGTGATAGTGGTTATAGCTTGGGATTTATATTTGGATTGACAGCATACACTCTGTACGAGGCTGAGTTTAACCACTAGGCCTACGTTCATTTAATTTTTAAATAGCTTAACTCACAACACCATATTGGTTTTGCGAATTGAATGTCTAGGGGTTTTTCGATCTCCTGGCATATTTGATTGACTTAATTGTTTAGAAGAAAAATGAATAGCCTACACACATTACATAAGTATACACGATACACAACAAGGATTTTCCGATCTCCGATGATTTTTCCGATGATTTTTTTAATAAGGATTCTCCATCGTGTGGTCCTGTCCTATGAGACAAGGAATTTTTCAGGCCATGAATAATCTAGGGCTAATATAGGAACATGCTAGGAGAATTGCTAGGAAGATTTGTTTAGCATTTTTGATCATTTTAGTAAATTAAATATTCAATTCAATAACGATTTAAGTTATGCGAGTATATATCGGGCATACTTGTAAGAGTTTAGTGAACATGAAAATTAACACTTATAATTCTATAAAACCAAAGTTACTGTAATAATGGTTTAGTGCAAAATGGTATAAAAACGTCGAAGATCTACTAAGTTATAAACTTAGTGTTCTTAACATTATATTCGTATGTTTTAAAATGAATTTTTACCTGTTTACAACCACGTAATTGTAAAACCAATTTGGAATACATCTCGTAAGAATACCTTCACCTTGGATAGATCGGAAGGAGAGCCTGTAAGCTGAGACAGTCAAGTAGCCTCCGTGGCGCAATTGGCTAGCGCGTTCGGCTGTTAACCGAAAGGTTGGTGGTTCGAGCCCACCCGGGGGCGTTTACTTTTTGACGCATTTTTACTACTCTTAACATTTATTTAATGCCATTAATTGAATTTTAAATTTAATTCCATATGAAATTCATATTTCAAAG